AATTTAGAATATGGGTGTATGCTTTTTTGGTGAATCTAACCTCTAGAAACGCATAAAAACGTCTGTTTTCACTGAAAAACACAGGCCTGCATTCCGACGCACTCTCAACTCTAAAACCCTAAGCCCTTAATCCTAAACCCTAAATCCTAAGCCCCAAACTTTAAAATCCTAAACCCTAAGCCCCTCCAACGCACTGAAAAAGGCCGCTGGTCCTCCCAGAAACTGCTGCGGCTGGAACCTCGGCATGCGACCCTCCCAGGAGCCATAATCTTAACTCCTTAAAAAGGGGTTCTATAAGAGTTTAGGGTTTAGGGCTTTAACCTCCTTAAAGGGGGCTCTAGAGGGGTGTAGGGCCTTGGGGTTTAAAAGCTCCTTGGGACTTAGCTTGGACCTTAGACCCTTAACCCTTTGAGATTCCCTTATAACCCGATTATAGGATTATAAGGGTTAACCCTTAGTAGGGTCCTAAGTGCCACGTAGAAAAGGGGTTCTATAAGAGTTTAGGTTTAGGGCTTTAAGCTCCTTAAAAGGGGTTCTAGAGGGGTTTAGGGCCTTCGGGTTTAGGGCTGTAGAGTTTAGGGTTTAGGGGTTTAGGGCTCAGGGGTCTGAACTCCTTAAAGGGGATAATGTAGGGGATTATAGAACCCCTTTATTTAGGGTTTAGGGTTTAGGGTCTCAACTCCTTAAAGGGGGTTATATCAAGGACTATAGAGGGGACTGCTATTGGGGTTTTTGAGGGGGATGCTAGGAGTTTAGTTTAATAATGGCTGATATAAAAAGGATTTCTTTAAGAGATTGTGGAGGTTATGTAGGGATTAGAGAAAAGGACTTCAAGGGATTATAGAGGGATCATATATGGGTTATGAATGGAATATATATATATACATATATATATATATAGGGGTGTGGCATTTGGGCTCGGCATTTGGGCTAATGGGTTTGGGTTTAGGGTCTCAGGGGTATTGGCACCCAGCAATCGAGAATCAAATGGAACATTACATCGGCACTGCGGTTAGACAGGAGTGTATAAGGGTTGCAAGGGAAAAATATCCCAGGAACAGAGAATTCAAAGGAAAAGAACATGGTGGAATCGATGCCGGGACTGTATGGGGTCCTATTTTGGAGGGTGCAAGATGAGATGGCTTGCAAGGGGAGAATATCCCAGGAACAGAGAATCCAAAGGAAAAGAACATGCCGGAACTGTGTGGGGCCTATTTTGGAGGGTGCAAGATGATATGGCTTGCTGGACTCCTGGACTATAACCAGCTTCTGCTATTTTCGGGGCATTTAGAACCCCATGTAGTCATAGCCACTCGAGAACCTCCAAGTACGATTTGGCGTCTAAGGCTCAGGGTGAGGGTCATGGGGCGTATCCGCGAAACAGAAGCGCACCCGTGATTTACCCTTACTGGGTGTAAGTAGGAAATGGAGGCATGGCTTTCTCTAGTAGCCCGTATGTCATGCCCGATAACATGTAGACCCCTTATTTATCAACCGCCTCCTTGATAGGGATTATCATAGTTATTAATCATGGATCTACATTGGGGATTCTATGTAGGGACAGGCCTTGTATCGTCCCCAATAACATAGCAGACAACCAGCAGGTCAAGTAGCAGTAGGAGCTGGGGAAAGCCGCCGCCCTGAGCCTTAAATCCCTATAGTCACCATTCAGTAGAGCGAATATGGCTTTGGGCATGCTACAGTAACATGCCCATATACCCCATATTATATCTACCTAAGGGGGACGATAATTCCTGAGCCTAGGCCCTATTTGGAGGGTCAAGGGGACTTAGTAAGTAGGGTAATAACGGGGACAACTGGGGTTACTATGTGACTTATGGGGTTATTAATCTACTTGCTGAGTCCCCCTGACCCTCCAAGTAGACCTTAAACTTTGAACCGTAGAACCCTAATTGAAACCCTAAACCCCAAACCTTACAACGCTTACAAGCCTAAGCCCTCAACACTACACCCTAAGTTGTCAGCAATGAGGCCCTTGCTAGCGTGGCTCATGGCCGCGCTGCTGAACTTCCGCCGCGGTCGTTGTTGGACTGGCTCAGATGGGGAATGGATACTAGGTTTAGGGTTTCGGGTAGCCCACAATAACAAGCCCTATACTCTCCTTATTCATTGTGCGCCATCAGTAAGCAAAAACTAGCACAAATCGAGCTGCGTAGATTCTACTTATTTAGGCCCTACATTGTGTAAGTAGGATCCAAGTGGACATTGGTGTGTTGAAGTGGTCTTGTGTTACCGGGCACTGTAGGCGACTCGGGCGTGCTAGACATGTTGGCTCCTCTTGGAGTTTGGTACACTTTGCTGTAGTTCTATGGGATGGCAGTACTGATATAATGTCGCAAGCCCTAAGCCCTTAACCCTTAACCCTGGACTCCCTGTTGAAGAGTTTGCTGGTCTACCTGTGAGCTACAGGAAAAGAATCTGATGGTTCGACCGTTGGAGATCACCTTGGCCCGTAAACCATCACTACAATTACCTACACAGTTTTGGGTAGTGGGGAGTTTTGTTGTTCTCTGTAGTCAACTCCTAAATCCAAGATCTCGCCCAAAGGTTACAGACCCTAAACCCTGCACCCTAAACCCCTAAACCCTAAACCCTAAGCAGTTGCATGCAGGACTATGCCCGGGCGCTGGCGGAGCTTTCCGTAGCGCTGGGCCAGCCACAGAAGAATCAGCAGGCAAGAAGTCGTGTCACCAGCACATGTGAGCTATAGTCTAAACTCCTTAAAGGGGTTAATATAGGGGATAATATAGGGTTTAGATTTAGGGTTAACGTATTCTAGAGGCCTATCTTATTCCATTGGTTATTTAGGGGTTATGTAGGCAAAATGGAAAGTAAGGTGGACACTACTATAGTATACTGCCGTTTTAGAGGGCTATACGAACTACCACCAATATTCCCTTGTAACCCGTATGTAACTACGACATTTCATACCACAAAGACCTATTCAGAATGAAGAGACCGCCCATACTTCATCTTCGGGGTTTCACCTTGCTGGGGATTAGGGGAGCAGGCAGCATGTCCATCAGGACTTCGGTCTGTGAGACGTAGTCCAACTTACTGGTTGTTAGTAGGGAATAAGGGAATATATCATACAGGGATCAGATTATGTAGGGATGATATTACCCAATTACTTGCCAACAACCAATAAGGTAAGGTTTCGGGAGTTAGGAGGGTACGCAGAGGATGTAAGGACCATCGCGGGCTTTCATCTGCTCATTCCCGGCTGAACACACGAAAGTCTTTGATTTTCGCGCCGACTTGACGACAGGCTGCCGCGGACTGCAGAATTACGAAAGATCAGAACACTGATCCCTTTGGTGCCCGGGATATGCTTCGCTAGTGTTGCAAGTGTCGAGAGGCGCTCTCTAGGTTTATGTATTCCTGTGCAGCTCCTGTGCCTGGGATGGTGCAGTCACTGCACTAGCAAATTCAAAGCAAGGGTTGCAGGGACACTGATAATGGATCGAATTGTATTGGACTGCTACAAGGATCCATGTACGACACACCGGCAGTACTAGAAGGCTTTTGCATCACCCAGGTCCCGGAAAAGTTCTAGAAAGTAGAAGCCCCAATACGAAACCCTATACCATTATTGGGTACTGTCTAGAATCCTCTATCCGTGCTCTATTTGATTGCTGAACCCTAAACCCTAAATCCTAAATCCTACACCCTAAATCCTAAACCATAAATCCTAAATCCTACACCCTAAATCCTAAGCCCTAAGCCCTAAATCACAAACCCTAAGCCCTTAATCCTAAACCCTAGATCTGAAGCCCCATCCTCCCAGGGGTTTGGGCACTGGCAGGTTTCAAGCTGTCTGGATGCTACTTGGCCTCACCTTGCTAGCCTGACTGAGCAAACGCTTCGGAAAGGAGATCAGGAGGCCCGGAATCAGAATACTAAGGGTTTAGGGTTTAGGGCTTAGGGTTTAGGGTTTAGGGTTTAGGGCTTAGGGTTTAGGGTTTAGGGTTTAGGATTTAGGGTTTGGGGTGTAGGGCTTAGGGCAATATTAGCTATAGTCTAAACTCCCTAAAAGGGGTTACATGCAGGATGATATTGGGGAGAATATAGGGGTTCTTCAGGGCAATGCTCGGAGTGCAGACAAAAGCTCATATTGATAGCACTAAGAGACATATTACAAATAGCTTCTGTATGCCTCTATATATATATATGTAGAGAGGTGTTAATGAGAGAGAGGGGGAGAGAGTCCAATGTCCTGTTCAAAGCGCTGCACATGCTCAGTGTCAGATCCCGCCAAGTGATGCCTCCTGAACACCCTCAACCCCAAACCCTATACACCTTAAACCCTGGACCCTGAACCCTATACCCTGCACCCTACACCCTAAACCCTAAACCTACTGTTCTAGAACTTGCAGAAAGGCCCCAAAACCTACTTTGCGGTGCGGGAGATTGGGCTTTCCAAGGCGGCTTTGGGCAACTACAAACTCCTGGGCACTACACCCCGCCCCCATACCAGTCCCCCCCCGAGTCCCCTTAATAAGCTTTTGTGGAGCAAGGGTGAGACTTTGGCGGGTAGTAGAGGAGCCCATGATAAGCAGGGTTTAGGGTTTAGGGTTTAGGGCCCCCCCAAACGCTGACCATCTAAACCCTAACTCTGTGATGTTCGCCTCGCCAGGATGTGGGCCTCTGCTTATCTGGCCTCGCGCGTTTAGCAGCCAGCCTTCCGTCACCCTTGCCAGATTCAGTAATGGGGTTTCGCAAGATTAGGGGTACCTCTTTGGGGTCCCTCTAAAAATTATTGTATCTTGGGGTCCCCCTATTCAGGGAAACTACCAAATGTGGAAGCTTGAGCTGAAAAGTCCCACTGCAATCGTAATATTATGGTAGCATGCAGCCCAAGTCCCCACGGTAGATATTTAGGTCTCCACGCAACTCTTATACTTCTCACTTTGTGCATCCATACTTCGGCCACTGTCACCAACGACCACTGCAACAATACCCTACTAGGACTACTACATTTGGGCATCGTCGACGATGCGGGCTGTTGCGACGACAGCAACGACTACGAGGAGGAGCAGGAGGAGGACGCCGATGGCGCCCGCATCGATGGCAACGGTGACGACCACCACCACGGGCACGACCATGGGCGCACACACAACCACGATGACGACAACGTGGTCGAAGGTGTCGTCGAGCACTACGGTTTTTGTTTTTTTTCTTGCGGCTCACACCTCAAGCGCCATGACTGTGAGTCTCCTTGTCCTTCATGTTCCGATCATCTCTCATCCATGCTGTAACTCGAAGCACTTGCAGTGCGTACGCACCACTCCTGTGTATGCCCCACTGCTAGTGCGGAGTTGGACTTGATAGCATCTGAAACTGCTTGCAGATTAAGCAGGCATTCATATCCTCTGCACCCGGCCACAATGTCTTGGAGCCCATGATTAAAGGAGCCCCTTCAAAGAATCCGGTCTTACAACCCCTACGCTCAACCGAACCCGTCACTTCGAGAAACTCAGAACTCATGATTCCCGATCCCTCTATACCTCTCAATAACCCCAGCTTAATCACCACCCACGAGGACCCCCAAAATGGCCCTTACTTTTCAAAACTTCCCGGAGACGGAACAGTCCGCAGCCAGGCCCCAGTCAGCTGAAGCTGCGGCGCTGGTTTCACAAGTGATCGGCTGGACACTCAACGCTATCGGCTTTTGAGATTGTCCAATATACTACTCGGAGGTTCAAGGGTAGCCGTCATCTAGAGGCAAAGTAGGTTTATCCAGCTTAATTACAACCTTACTTTCAACACTGCATCATCGTCCATGCAGAGCCCCTACAGGCGGAGGCTTGCGCTCCTGTGCTCTTTTGGAGAATCAGTGCAATCTTGGCCTCCAAACAATAATGCTCCTTTGATGACTGGTCAGTTTAGGGTTTAGGGCTTAGGGTTTAGGGTTTAGGGTTTCGGGTATAGCAGTTGATGGACGACAATCTTGCCTGACCCGATGATTGAAAATCAAATGTTCAGCAACTTTTGCAACCTGTGAAGCTCCAAACGGTAGTTATTCAAAATACTTGTTCTCAAAAGGGCCATAATGTAGGTCCCTTTTTGGAAACGTTTTCCTTTTGAGCAAGAGTATTTATCAACTTGTCTACGAAAACTTTTAGAACAACCTCGACATACTGGGCAACCTCAACCAAGAAAACCTAAACCCGAAACCCTGAAGCTCAGGTCCAAATGCTGAAGGCTTGCTAAGCCAATGTCAAGATGAAGAGCTTGTGTGGCCGCACGCCTGGCTCCAGAATTCCACGAGAATTAGGGCTTGGGGTTCAGGGTTCAAGGTTTGCGGACATTAGCTCGCAAGATAGGAGAATCAAATGGAAAAGAACGTGGAAGGTGAAATGGAAACGGTGCTTATGTAGGGGTTTTTGGGGTTGTAATGTGGAAGTGTAGACAAACACCAATGACATTGTGGTCCTAGGTTTCTTTTAGAACTATGGCATAGAGTATCTCAAATAGAAATCAAACTGACCTGGAAGAATAGTCTCAGGCGGATAGTTGGGTACCCCCCATAGAATGAGCTCTATATAGGCCACATTCCGGGGTAATCACCTGATATCTACCCTTGGACGGGCAGTTGATTATGGAGCAATTGTTGTACTGGGTCGCATGGCGCTTTCATGTTGCCCGAAGTGATGATAATCTCCTCCCCCTAATAATAAACCCCCCCCACCACCCTAATAATAAATACTCCCCAAATATGGTA